ACTGGAACAGGTTGCCCCGAGAGGTTGTAGATGCCCCATCCTTGGAAGCTTCAAGGCCAGGCTGGATGAGGCTTGGAGGAACCTGGTCTAGTGGAAGGTGTCCCTGCCCATGGCAGGGGGGTTGGAACTGGATGATCTTTAAGGGCCTTTCCAACCCAAACCATTCTGTGATTCTAACAGCTCTGCAGACACCAAGGTCGGTGGAGAAGGATGCAGAGGTGCTCCAGGCACCAGAGCAGAAATTCCCTGGCAGCCCGTGGTGCAGACCATGGTGAGACCGGCTGTGCCCTGCAGCCGTGGAGGATCACAGGGCAGCAGAGACCCATCTGCAGCCCAGGGAGGACCCCATGCCTGTCCAGCTGAGGAGGGGAGTGATAGAGGGGCTTTGGTGGGCACCTGGCCTCCAGCGAGGGCCAACCCACCACAGTCACACACAGGAACATCCCCTTGTTTCAGCAAAAAGAAACATTTGTTTTACACAAGTAATAGCTGCAGCTTGACTTTTATGATGCAAAACACAGTAAAGTTAAAAATAAACATGAACAGGATTATAAGAGGCATAACACAGCACTAGTCTTACACAAATACTCATGCAGAAATGTAGGAGCAAGAAATTTATTAGCATGCAAGGTTTTTAACTTCTATGTGATGGTAGCTACCCGCTCCTTCTCTACAGTGTATTGAGATCTTCTGATCTTAAAATAAACACTGCTACACAGAGGCAAAGCCACAGATGCTTAATAAGATGTGTGTACAAAGGACAAGGAGTAATGCCTGAAATTAAATTATTTAAGTTGAACTTCCCTCAGTCACTCCCCTCTTGATTTTGCAAAACACGCATTCTAAGTATATCTTTATTTAAAAAGAGTATCTTTAGAATTCAATACAAGAAGACAAGATTATATTTTGTCATTTGGTATGTGCTCAGTGGCTACAGTTCTGCACTTGAAAGCAGAGCTCCATTTCACATATTGTGATAGCAACCCAAACAAAAAAAAAGCCTTCTCTCTGAGCTGTAAGTTGGCCACCCTATGGGAGGTAGTGGCTGCGCATCTCCAACTGCTCTTAACGCAGGTGATAGTACAAAACCATATCCCATCTCACCAGACTGTTACCAGTATTTCTAACATTCAGGCTCATTTATAGCTTTACTTTGCAATCCCTTCACTCTCAGTAAGTATGTGTTTAGCACACTTACAAGCATACATGGTGCCGCTTCTGGCTCTAAACTACAGTGGAACATGATGGAATGAAATAAGCTTCTCGTCTCAGTTGCTCTTGCTCCTAGAAAGTATTTGTTTATCTAGACCCAATCGCTGCTCCCCTATCTATGTAATGACTTCCTCATAGCAGCCAGAGATTACCCACACCGCTGATCACTTTATTACTTCAGAATGGCTGTTTATTTACTTTAGTGCAGCAGTAACACACAGGGATAAAGCTTGTCACAGCTGGACAAACTCACCATATTCCTTACGCAGGTGGTCTGGAATGTGGGGCTCATAACCTTCCTTCTCAGGGACCTCCACAAATTCATCGTCCTCGTCGTCACTGTCATCTGAGGCTTTCATCTACGGAGATATTTTTGTTGATATTTTTAGATGTGAAGACTGCATTTCATTTCCCTTCATACTGAAAATATTTCACAGACATCTTGATAGCCCTACTGAGACTGTTCTATGTCAAAAGTATTTCCCTAATTATGTATTTAATCTTTATCTGAGATTAAGCTTTTGCTTAGCATTTTATCTCTAAAGCCATACTCTATCCTAAGGGCTTCTTTAAAGCCCCTTTTATCCATTAGAACACATGCAGTTGGTGAACTATGAGAAAGTGTGAAGCTATAAAATAAGACCAAAAAATCTTAAAATAACATCAAGATTTGGACTTGATGAGCACATTGTAGCCTCCTCTCTTTTCCTTTGGTTGATTTTACTCATTTAGCTGCACTCAAATAATCTGCGGCATGTTGAATGGTAGCTCAAAACCAGAGCAGGCAAACAGGAGGGGAAGCTGATGGAATGGCAAACTAATACTGACCAAATTAAGAATATTCAGATCTGTATATACTACAGCATTTCACTGTGTTTCTTCACAACAGCACAAAAAAAAAAAATTGATACGTTCACTTCTTAACTAATTTGGTATTGACACATTGCTATGGTCAATACCAATAAAATGAGGGTTTTTTTAAAAGCGCACTTGGTCTATATTGCAGTCTGAAACTGAGTATCTATGACTAGCTGGAAACTAAAACTGGAGTTCCTACCAACAGGGTGATTCATTCACCTAAGTGACTTCCTATATATCATTTCAGCTAGCTACTACTGTATATGTGCCACCAAGTCTCTACCCTTTTTTTAAGATTGTTCCACAATTGAAAATTATTTTTTTCTTCCAAACTAAGCTAAAAGAATCTGTGCCACCTCAGACATTGCCTGTACTATCAGCGCTTTAAAACAGCAAATGCCAACTACCCTAAAAAGGCAGCAATGATGAAGGTTTTATGCTTTACTTCCTTTGCCCACCGTGGGAGGTACCTAATTCTTAACAACCACCTAATTAGCACATTACTGTATGTTCACCAAGCATTTTTAGAAGTCTAAGAAATAATAAGGGGTATCCACTAAAACCAACCTTACCATGGGCTATCACTTTTTTCAACTTCACTGCAGCAAGCCAAAGCAATAAGATAAGGAATGCCATCATTTTTACTGGTTTCAGCCGTGTTCTTTACTTCTCTTACTGCACCTGACTTACGTTGATATTCATATCAACTACTCATTGTTACAAGCACCGGAGGATACTGCAGGTTTTGCCTGCAGCAAAATTTTCCCAATTTAATTCACTACTCTAATCTCGTGTCACAGCTGCACAGCTGAGTTTCTTTAAATCATACATATACTCCGAAGACAAAAAACCTAGAAACCAATCTTTGTTTACTGAACATAGCTAAAAAAAAATTTAAAATAAGTAAAATACTTAAAAGAATTTTTTTTTTTTTAAATCAGCATTTCTTTTTGGTCAGTATTACTTTTAAGCTGGACTGAATTAATTTCTAATGAAGAAAATTATTTTATATTAATGTACATATTGATACACTTTAACATATAATCAATAGATGGTGCAAGTTAGAGGTACAATTCTTCCCTTTGTTAAAAAAAACCTACTTTGATTTAAGAAAGTTGCAGTTCCAGTGGAAAAAAACCCCAACCAATCAACAACAAAAAAACCACCAAAATTTACTGTTTTGAACAACACGGTAAATTTGCTACCGCATTCTTACTAGCGAAGATCTAATTAGTCTTCATTTTAAAATAAAGTCCAAGCATAATCACATTTGAAACTACCTCGCTGCTGACAAAAGGTAACAACCACAACGTAGTCCCTTCAGCCCAATTATCACGACCTCCAGAGCTGCCAGCCTTCAGGCCTGCTGGAGCATCCTGCACCCCAGTTTACTTTTTGTTTCCCACTACAATCATTTTTCCTTATCTAAAAAAAAGAAGCAATTCAGGCCCTACCCGGCATGGTCGAGAGCGCACCTGACGTCCGCAGCAGAAACCAGAGTTCTAATGCAAAGAACGGGTCAACTACTCCACCCCTAACCACAGGCTGTTAAAGGCACTAGACATGAGCGCAGCACATCTGCGTTAAACTGCAACTTTCAGAAGACCTTCCCGATGGCCTTTGGAAAGAAAAACATCAGGTTTTGTCCTCTGCACAATAGATGATGGCTAGAGATTGAAGTTTATTTGTATTTTGGTTTCAAAATTCTGCTGGTGTTGTCATCCCCTTTTTATCTCTCAGGGGCAATTTAATTAAATTTGCAGATAACATCCACTCCTCCCTTTTCCAGCTAGAAGCAGGGCAACATCGTATTTTCCATATTCAGGTTCCATTTCTCTTTTAGCTATTGAAAAGGACATCACCAAGCTGAAACTTGCCATGGATGATCCTGGTCTACAGCTTCGCGCTGTTATGCAAAAACTGACTAGTTTTCACATCCTAAAACAGGGAAAGTAAATTCGGTGTATTTCTGCAGTTTTAACTCAGAAGTTGTCTATAAGAAAATACACAGCGACAAGTTTAAGGAATTGAGAAATAATGTCAAACTAGTACAGGAAAACTCAGTTCAGTGTGATCATTTAACTTAAATCACCAGAATATACCTAAAATATAAGAAGTGGGTATAATACAAGTACTCACGTGCATAGCATATCTGAGAGGACTAGAAGGACTTCAGAAGACTACCATCTTTAACTGAAATTTCTCCTAACATCCTCACATGCCGCTGGGGGCACATAGCTCTCTTACATAAATATACTAAAATTCAGCGGCCTTCACTAATCCTCAACTTGAAAACTGTATCAGAAGCAACTTTGCTGTATTACCTGCACGGTCTAAAACTTTAAAGCACGTGAAAAGCCTGACGGAGAAAAGGCATAATCAGATGCAAATTCACTTTGTTTAGGTACAATCCATGAGCTGCGCATTCAAGTACTATAGAAAACATTAATCATAGGAAACTGTAATTTTTGTTATCAGTCTAACACTAATCAAAAGGGAAACCTGTCACTACCGCTGACCTGTGAAACGTCCCAATTATACTCTTCGGAAATGACAGGAGCACTTAACTTCCTCACTGAGTAAATGACGACGATCAATCAAGTTTGAATAACAATGAGCCACGGAGCTGAAAATTATTTTTTGTATAGAATCTACCCAGGAATTTATGAAAGGTGAAAAGCAACCCAAGGTTTTAGGGGCATTATGGCTTTCAGCTAGTGCAGCGCATATCAAACACTAAACAGAATTTATGTGTTTTAATTTTCTAAAAGGTAGATGTGGACTTGGTGCTACAATGCATAACATATAATGCCAGATTTTAAATATGGGGGTCATTTTCATAAAATATTATGCTTATTGTTCACACCCTTGAATTTCCCTGGGGTCTTCTATTAAATTTAGATTTCCTGTAAAAAAATTAACTGCTTAGCTAACTATAAGAAATTAAGCCCCCTTTTCCCTTCAAACAGATATAGAGCCTTTATTTTGATACAATCTTTAACAGGATTACTTGCTTATCTTTTTACTTTTAATATTTTAAGTCATCACTGGTGGAAACTCAAAAAGTTGCACGGTAGTAGTGGGTAGTTACATCTCATTTACTTCGTCAGAACCATCCCATTTATTCTGTTTTGTACCATGCCCTTTCTGCAGAAATGAGGAGAGATCATGAGCAACATTATTAGTCAGAAAGGTATCTTTTCCTTTTTTTTTTAATTCCACTTTTCAAACACGAAGAAACCTCCAAAGCAAGGTCTCCAGACATAGTATGAAAGTTCAGCCACCTATTTATCTACTTTTCCACTATAGGTTAAGTTTTTCATTCAATTAAAAAAAAAAAAAAATCAACAATTCACAATTAAATCAGAGGAAATAAATTTAAGATGACACTTTGACAAAAATTAGTAAATTACATTCCTTTAGGAATGAGTGGTTAGGTATTGCAAACAAGAAAAAGACTATGACAAAAAGAAGCAATATGCCATTTCTAGCGTGCCATATCTGAGGGGAAGTAAGGCATAAGCTCAAGTCATAAATACTACAATGAAAAGCTTTTCTTATAGTATACAGAACTAAATATCTCTACCACAAGTGGTCGTGCAACTGCTTGTTTCACAACAACCTGTCAAAGAGCGCAAGGGAAAAAAGGTCCCATTCTCAAATACATTCTAATCATCAGGTAATAAGTGGGAAGCCACTAACGCAGCATGCAGTGTTATTGGAGATGAAGGCTGAACTACCTTCTCTGCCACTGGAGGATGGTGCATCTGAAGGGAAACCAGATGCCCAGACATCAGAGGCTACTTGCACCATCATTGCTCCTCTGGATGCATGGAGAAGGGAACTTTTTCCATTCAGTATTAATCTGCTCTATAATGGTGATATTTATTTATTTATTCATTTACCTAATCATGCTTTTGCAAAACTATGTATAGGGGTTTTTTGTTTGTTTGATTGTTTTTTTTAAATGTGGCAGTATTCCTGACCAGATACCTCACGGTGATTTAGCTAGACAAATTCCAGGTTCTTGGACTAAATTTATTTACAAATAAAAATTAAATTTCATTTACAAAAAACAAACGCGGACACAGAAAAATACACATTCATTATTTTCACTGTAACCAGTTAGTACAATGTATCCTCAATTCTCCTAATTTTCATTAAAACTTAAAATAGTGCTGACTTTTCAGCTAGACAAGTGCAGTCAAACCCTTTGCTCCCTAACTCATTAAAAAAACCCTTGAAAAAACAGATGTTTCCTTGGCAGTCCCCATCTTCTTAAAAATACCTCAAAAACATTGGATGCCAGCAGAAAAGCAATCGTATCTTACTTTGGAGTCAACGCTCCAAGAGCCTCCAGCTGTTAGTGTAGCTCAGCCCAACCACTGCTCCGGCTAAATGCCTTGCTCATCCACCCCAGCCAGTAATAAATGCAAAAAAACCCCTCCACCCACCACACAACACTTGGAAAGATGTGAAGAAAAGCCTTTGGTCCTTTTCC